TGTCCCAGCAGCTTCCTCCTGAAATCATTTTGCACTGAACAGCAACTAATCTAATTAACAACAAAGAGTCTTGTGGCACCTTAAAAGACAAACAAATTATTATGACATAAGTTCAAGTTCCATTCTTCAGATGCATGAAGCATTATCAGTTTGCAGGGTTATTCATTCACATCTACACATGGTGAGCAGTTGTAAGCCGTGAACTCAGAGGGAGATGAAATGCAACAAGTGCAAGCAGTGGCAATTCATTTGGGTCTTGGAATATATGTAAAACAAGCATAGTGTCCTTTCACAAACGATAACACAAATGATAATGTTAGAAGCTTAGCAATGCTGAATTAATTAACTTCCGTAGTTGGACAGGAAACCATTGCCTGTATTCAGACTCAAATGAACAGAATAAAACATGACTATCCAGCATTTTCCCTTTGAGATTCCCTTTGAGATTCCTTTGAGATTCTACAGAATATCCTGGTAGAGAGAAATGGTCCCAGACTGTTTTCAAAATAGTGCCATCTGAAAGTACAATAGTAGGTGAATACTTCAACCAAGTAGGACACTGGTAAGGTAAGTTTGGAAGGCCCTAAAGAAATAGGTCTTCCAACTGGCTTATTTGTAAATCATTACTGATATTTCATGGCCTGAATTGTGGTTTATTACTGTGAGAAGTGTTTTTCTTGGCCTGTTGAGTATTGCCTGTTCTCTCAAGGGGAAGGGGTCTTTCTAGTTCTTGTATTGCTGATACTTTGACATTTCTATTATAAAGGTAGAAAAGATAAAGGTAAAGAACTCCTGGGTAGTTAAGTGCAGTCACACTTGACTATGGGGTGCGGCACTCATCTCCGCTTTCAGGCCAAGGGAGCCAATGTTTGGGTGCAGACAGCTTTCACAGGTCATGTGGCCAGCATGATTAAACTGCTTCTGGCGCACAGAGCACTGTGATGAGTGCCAGAGTGCATGGAAATGCCGTTTACCTTCCTGCACCCACTGTACTCTCTCAAAATTAAACATGTGCCCACTGGTCCACTCCCTGCTTTACAGCCTAGGTTCTTTCCTATCTTACTTACTTTGCACATTTCCCAACTCTGAAATCCTTTCAAGGCGAGCCAAGCAGAATCAGCCAGCCAGCCAGTCGACAGATCCTATCCTGCCTTTCCACCCTGTAGATCTGCAAGGTGGCTTACAAGCAGCTTTGCATACATTTGTTTTGCACATGTAGATCTTCCGCCTTAGTGCAAGCCAACAGAATTCCTCACTTGGCATGTGATGTCTGCTGCGGAGGGCCAGTACCCTCAGGCGCTGCCTGTAGGAAGATAAACAGCTAGTCCTCCCCCAAAGCACCTGCCAATCTGAGAGTAGATAATAATGTTAAGGTCAGGGCCTCCTCGCAAGCAGAAACTTGAAGCAACTGTAATTGCTATTCCAGATGTGTCAGTATAATCAGTTTCTGCAAAGGGAAAGGCGTTAAGATAATGGCTGTTTTATTTTCAATCCTCTTCCTAACAATCCCAAATATTACATTTGTCTTTTTCACCACCACTGAGTTGAGGCTCTCATTGTGCTAATCCCAAGACAAGCACGTAGCCCTGCTGCTGGATCAAATGAAAGGTGGCCTGCCAGAAGCTTCTGGAAACCCCACATGGCAACAACCCTCACCCCAGGCTTCCTCAACCTCGGCCCGCCAGATGTTTTTGGCCTACAACTCCCATGATCCCTAGCTAGCAGGACCAGTGGTCAGGGATGCTGGGAATTTTAGTCTCAAAACATCTGGAGGGCTGAGGTTGAGGAAGCCTGCCCTACCCCATATTTGCTCCCCAGATCTTGGAGTGACCAGGAAACAACACACATATGAAAGCATCAAAACAAATAGTTGCCCCACTTCAGCCTTCAAAAAGGTACAGGAAGGGCACTGCTCCTACCTATGTTTTCCCCTCAAAAGGGATGACAGGTTTTCCTCCTGCCAGAGAAAATAGGAAGGAAGAGAGCCATGCATACCTATACCTTAGGAACCTTGGAAGGCAAGTGGAACATAACTGTCAGAAATAAATGATAATAAATAAACTCCCTACCCTAGAATGTGACAGAATGCTGTGACTTACTTATATAGATTATATAGAATAGGGTAGACCTAGGGGTGTATTGGAATTTGCATGATTTCATACCTGACAATTTGGAAGTGTTTGCTGATTTTCACAATCTGGTTAATTGAATCCTGGTTTGACTTCATTTTAAATGGAGTAAGTAAGGAATGACTCAGAAAAGATTAGCATTTCAAAGCCCTGCTGGGGGCAAAGAAAGAAAATTCTTTGTGGTAATGTTTAAATTTTACAAGGTGGGTGTTTCACATTGCACATGCCCGAAGAGTGTGTGTGATATCTTCAGTGGCAACAGGGAAACAGGTGCTGGAGCTGCTAGAATGTTATAGCAGTGGTTAGTTTTGGTCTTGGAGCAGGCAGATCCAGATTCCCCTCTCCTTTCAGATATGGATGATACTAGATGGCCTTGGGCCAATCATTGTCTCTTAGCCTAAACTGTGTTGCAAGGTTGTTGTGAAGCTAAAATAGAGGGGGAGGGGAGAGCCATGTGTCTTGTCCCCAGTTCCTTGGTAGGATGTATAATAATTTCATCTTAAGCCTACTAGAGTGCTAGGACTTACAGAGTGTATGTTGATTCTGATATTAAGTGTCTCACTGTATGGAACTTGTCACCTCATGTGAGATTTGATGAGTTTTGATAATCAGGTGCACAGATTATTATTTGCTTCTGGCATTTTACGAATTTAAAATTGCGACACACACTTCACTTTTACACTCCTAAACTACTCCTTGCATACTGACAGCAAATACTAGAAATGTACGTTGCAAATTTATTATTTTGTTTTAAAAAATTGTCAAAGAGCTTCATATATGTTACTAGTGAGGAGTGCCCAATGCTGCCTGGGTATTTTTTGAAACAAAAAAAAAAGTGATTTTCAAATGAATAGTGCAATTTGAGAATTTGGACCCATCAAGCCCAATATTGGGTAAAATCAATCCAAAGTCATGTTTTGGTATGCTGTATTGATTGAAAATTGTACCCGGCATCCAAACATGGATAAAGACCACTACTCCCATCTGGGGAACCCTTATGCCAAGTTTGACCTCTCAAGAGATCATCTCCAAACTTGTTCCTGAGGTGGAAGTGGTGGGGCAGAAAACATCCACTTTCCAAAATATAGATTTCAGTATTCCTTACTGCCCTTGAAGCTTGTCTAATACCACGATCCTCATATTGTGGATGAGGGGCTGGGAGAAAATTGGCTCTCCCAAGGCCACCTAGTAGTGAGTTCATGGCAAGAAGAGGATTTGAACCAGGGACAATAGCACATGAAAGCAACCCTTAGGCTATTGCCTCAGGAAGGCAGGAGATCCTGTCAGGCAAGTTCCCAACTGAGCTGTACTTGCTTGAAGGAAGCAACTGATTTGCATCAGTGTGGGTGCTATATGGATGGCAATTACCACTTCAGTGATGCATGCGAAGACAGGCTCTGGTGGATTGAGCAGGCAAGACCAATAGTGGGTCCAATGGTCAATAAGACAGTTTCTGCACGTGCTGTACAGAGAAGTGAGGAACAGATGGGGCTCATCAGCCTAGGAAATTAGCCTATCTAGGAGAAGGAAAACTCTTATCCTAACCCTTTACTGACTTGTGGAATATCTTCAGAAGAAAAGGCTAAGGAGTAAACCCTGCACAAATCCAGCATGGAGTCCCTAAGATGGTTGGATGGTGCCTTGTATGCCGCCTCCTGGTAACTCCTGCAGCCAAGCTGGTGCTCTGCTTTCCTCTGGACCACATCAGTGAGGTATTACGGCTTGGGCAGCCCAGGACCTCCATACACACTGCCCCAGAGAGGTCACTTTATGCTGCTAACACAGCAGTTTGGCTTCATCCCTGGAGGCACACTCTGTAATTTCCTGGGACTTTGATTGTGCAACAGGTAGGGCTGGTTGGCAATACACTGGTGCCCTAGGCACAGATTCAACATAGTATCCCATATATGAATTAACACAAGACCCAATTCACAAGACGGTTCTCTTGCACAATCCCTATTTAAATAAATAGCTCAAATTGGGGACAATTCCACAGACTTTAGATGTGTGGGTGACTCCAGGAACAAGAAACTTTCCCCCAATGAACTTCCTTCCATTCAAGTATCTTAGGATCTAAACCATTGTATGTTTCAGCTAGACTGGTTTACCAGAATAGGGCTTAAAGGTAGACCAGACCAAGGAAGAAGTGGAGAAAGAAGGCAGTCCTTGCATTCTCTTCCTCTTTTCTATATGTTAGAAATAATGCTAGTGAGCTCTCGTCACTCTTAGTGCTATTTATTCAATTTATATCACCCCTTCCAAAGGATCTCAAATGCTAACTGTAGAACGATGCAGCTATTTTGGTACTAAGGTAAATCATAGCCACTACAAAGAGAAACTTGAGTGGCCTCATCATGGTAAATACGAAAATATCTGTGAAGTTGCCTTTCATGGAGACAGACCAGAACTGTAAAAGGTAATTAGAGTATGGTCTCATAGAATTGTGTTTGGCTGGCATCCGTCTGGCTCATGAGATAACAAAAGAGTGCACCTTCTGGGGAGAAGTCAAACCGTTGGAGAGTTACAGCGCCTGCTGTAGAGACTGATAGGGGAAAGACATGATTTCTTGCAGCTGAGGCATTAGAATAGTGGTAGTTTTCAATCCCTTTCCTAATGAACCCTTGCTTGGAATTCACCTTTTGCACATCTGCCACACCCTGGGTCAACATCTTAACAGAGGTATCTGCTAAAACCCCAAGGTCTCATTCCATCTCAGTAACCACCAGTCTGGACCCCATGAGTATGTGAAGATACACAGGACAGAAGCAAAAGGAGAGCCTGTGAGGGCCTGACTTCCTCAATAAAGCTCCAGGCCCTCTCCCCACATGTTCAAAATTCTGTAGTGAAAAAATAATTATTTCCTTTACTCAGTTTTCGCTTTGCACATATTAACATTAGTTCTGCATTTTATTTCAACGTTTGCTGCTTATTATTTGTCAACTGTGCTTATTTACTGAGTTAAACATACAGCAAAAAGAGAGCATGGAAACTGCTGAATAAAAGGCAGCAATACAAACACAGAGTTCCAAACCCATTCTTTTTACTGTTACATGTTAGAGGTCTGATCAATGGAAAAAATGCAGAGTGGATTAGATTATCAGTAATGCTATACCCAACCATGGCTCAGTTCTGGGTAGTACAGCAACAGCAGGACCAGGGGAGAAGCAAATCGGCTGCATTTTTTGCTGTGTACCTGCATGTTTGTTCATTCACACTAAGCCCAACCTCTGACTTAACATTATGTGCAAAACAACCCAGTTCCACTATCTCCATTCAATACATTATTATTTTCCATATAGGAAAGGAGTTTATAAACAACCATCCAGAAGATCACAACTATCAAATCTATACAGAAAGAATGGCTGTCAACTTAATGCAGGACACTGGATTTTTCAGTTAAATTAATCCACTTCTTATGATTTCATATACCTATTCCATCACCCATTGTCTCCAGTGTTAAAGGAGTTACTAAATGAAGAAATCAGTTACTTTGACACAGTCTTAAATCCAAAGTATGAAGATTTTTACAATGCAAACATTTTGGGTTTTTCTCCCCCTCACAGGAGAGGAGGGAGAACCAAGACAACAGTCACAACTGTACTCTCAATAAGAGTAAAAGGTTGTGTACAAGGAACTAGTAACATATAATTATATTCAGCAGAATGAAGGGCATGAAGGAAGTCTATTATGGCACCCAAATTCTACCATATGAAAAGATAGCCCTCTGATGCAGCAAGGGAGATAACGTACAGGGAAGTTCTATTCTGCACAAGGACCTGATTTTTTTAAACTAGTTTTTATTAAAGATTTTTTTTTGTTACAAAACAAACAGAAAAACAGGGAAAGGTACACCTATTATCTCCACTTTGCATTCATAAGTCTTTTTCACAGTTCATTTGCCTTTAGTGAAATACATTTTTGTCATAGACATCTTGCGGTTGAGGGGAAAAGGGAGTGGGGGAGAGATTGTTCTTTCATTCTGTTGTCTAGTCCTAGTGTAGGGCTTTGTGTCAGCATCATGTGGGTAGGACAAGGACCTGATGTTGATGAAATCCACATTATGGTGCTCATTTTCATGAATTGGCTGGATATGTCATTTGATGATATATTACTGTGTACAACTAATGAGATTCTTGCATTGCAGGGGGTTGGGCTAGATGACCCTTGGGACCCCTTCCAACTCTACAGTTCTGTGATTCTATGTACTAGTGGCCTATGACCAGAACTGGTTAAGGTCAAGGTCTACAATTATATGTATACCTGGAAACAAGCTCCACTGAACTCAATGGGTTGTAGCCAATTGAAGCCACTGATTTCAATGGGTCTACTCAAACTATGACTTAAGTTGAATGCAAACCAAATAAGACTGACTTACTTTTAAAACCCCATGCATGTCTATTCTTGTGTTTTCACCCCAAAACCAAATAAAAACAAGTTAAACCAGTTTTTTCAAAGATGTAGATATGCCATTTCCTAGTTATTATCCCCATTGTTATTTCCATGTTATTATCCCCAGAAAGCAAACTCGAATTCTCAAACTTTCACTTCCGTTTTTTACTTATCAGGCATAAAGGTAACTATCCAGAAAGGTCCTTCTCTCTCTCACCCATCCTTCTCTATCCTCCTCCCCCCCTACAGTGGGGGCTACTTTGAAATCTGTCCCTTGTTTCAAGGTTGACTGATGGGGGGGGTGGTTCTGTTACAAGCTCGTCAAGAAATTCAGATGCTTCTGCAACTAAGAACTTTTGGTCCCACTACAGTACCTTTTTATTTGGAAGGAACGAATCTAAAAGATGTTTTTCCGTAAAATGATCAAGAAATAGAGTTTAACCTTATACTGTAACTGCTACTAAGATTATAACAGCTAAAAATTGGGGAGGGGGAAAAGCATATTGTTTTTATTCACACACTCAAGCAGATCAGGAACTTTATCTCCTTTTTGTGCCTCCAAAACCTAAGAGAGAAAGAGAAAGATGATCATTCAATGGGTAATACTTTTGAGAACAGATTGAAGAAATAATTTTGTATTATATACATAAATTCTATTAATGTTTACTTGTTTTTAAATTATTCCCCACCACCACCCTTTGTTTTCAACTGTTCTTATTTTATCTGTAAGTGGCCTTAAGTCACTGTCAGAGGAAAAAGGCAAGGAAGAAATAAATAAATATATATATATATATATATATATATATACCAACCACCACCAATAAACAATTAAACATTACTACAAATGTGTTGTGTGGTGTGTGGGTGTATCTCTCTCATCTATTACAATGTTTAATAGAACTCCATTTGAGTAAATATTGTACACGTAAGACAAGACCTTTTGAAAACAGGTGAAAAGCTGTTCTACTCGCATATTTTAATATACAAATTTTCTATATGCCTGATGCGAGGCAGTAATATGGGAGAGTATTAAATTATGTGTGCCTTCTCCTACGTTATGTTGTACAGTCCATACAGGTTTATCAGCTTGGTGAAAACTAAGCCTAAATCCTATGAAAAGTGAGGCAGATGACTTGTCACTTATCTACCCCCAAAGATTTAAACAGGAATTACATTACAGAATGGGAATGTGTGGAGGAATATATGACAAAACATCGTTCCAAAACAAATTTATTGATATGCATTGACTAACTTTTGTAAGGCTAAAATATTGACAGACGTCTTATGGGGGAAACAGAAGCAATATACACAACACAAAAAGAAACAAAAACAAAAGAAGCTGTAAAGTGGTGGAGGGAAGTCACGGATAGGAATAAGGAAAATATATAAACATAGAGATTTACACATATAGTATTGAAAACAATAATTTGGAATGTATTGCTAAGAATGTTAAAATGTGTAACTGAATGTAACAATGCAAATAAAATAAAAATATCATGAAAAAACAGAATGAAAATTAAACAGGAATTAAATGCAATCAATTTCTCTGGAGTGCAGTGAAGTGATTAAAGTCACCGCCCCTGAGGTTCACCAGGAAAATAAAGATAACATGGCTTATAACTTACCTGAGGTGGACTTTGTCCCTGAATAAGACGTTGAAGAGCTGTTTGAAGCACCAAATGTAGGAGGTGGAGCAGTTGGACCAGCCCACGTATTATGGTAAGGTGAATATCGGTTATACGTAGATGACCTGTGGTGGGGAGAAATCGATTAAATTATTTTAGTAACAAATGTCATTTCCCCACCACATGCAATAGCAGTAGTAATATAAATGCTTAAAGAAACAGATAAGCTAGTATAGAAGTGCGGAGGTAAAATATTTTCCCCCTATAGATTTTATTAAAGTTTGAAAGAAAATTAAAAAGATATTGGATGTTTGATATGAACCTTTGTATCAAAAAAGCAAAAACAAAACTAATTAAATAAAAACAATCCAAAATTAAGAAAAAAGAACTGCTGATTCTTTGTTAGCTATATATAGAAAATTATTCCAAACATCCACTCTAAGGTAACACCCTACAATTACACTTTTTATAAACCAATATTTTCTTCAATCCTTAAACCCAGATATCACATGTTCATGTTCTTTTTCAGGCAAAAAGTCTATAAGGAGTCTGGTTTTTTAAAAGTGGAAGGTCATATAATGTGAAACTCCTCACAAGCAACAAAGACACTGTGAACCCAGAAACCACCCCTTTCTTTTAAAAAGGTCACTATAGGAAAAACACATTTATATATGCAAGTGGATATTCAGTAATTTTGGAAAGAGCCATAGCACAGTGGCAGATTCTATATCCAGCATCCCGAAGTAGGGCTGGGAGAGAACCCTGCCTCAAACCCTAGAGATATGCTACCTGTCAGTGTTGAGAATACAGAGGTAGGTCTGACATATAAAGCAGCTTTCTAGTTCCTAACAGCAACAAATTACAAGTAAACTTTCCTATGGTTCCATTAAAATAATACACTTCAATTTAACAAAGAACAAGATTGCCAAGGATGGTACTGAGCAATTTATTGTTAATTTTCAAACACAGGAAGTTGATGAACACCCCTAAATCCACCAATGTAACTCTTAATAAAAACTGTCCAAAGAAACAAACTTAGCTTCAGCTTAGAGGAACCTGTTGCCTGCACAGGGTTAATCTTGCCAGAAGACAGTAATTCCCACGAGTAGCTTTGGGATTTTATCTAGTCTCTTAACATGTTAATCAAGGCAGAACCACCACAATAGTTTGCAGAGATATAAACAACAGCATCAAATATTCAGAAGTCTTTTAGATTCAGTGCAAAACCAAGGTCACACAGCCAGTGTAAATAATAGTATTACTGTACCTAAGAACCTAAGAAATAAAGTGTCTGTACAAAAGCAGACTAGAAGGCTGTGCTCAGTGAGTTCTTAACATGGTTACTGAGTTGTCATCAACTTCCTTTTTCCTCTGATTTACATGGGCTGTGTTTTGCACTGATAACTGAGCACTGATAAGCTGTTACTTAAATTTCATTTCTTTTGAAGCAGCAGTTAATCAACTATACTACAAAACAATTATGTGGGGGAAAGCACAAAGGGAAATGGAGAGAAAAGGGAGGCTTGATAAGCAAAAGGAGCCAAAGAAACCAGAGTCTGGGAAGGAATAACCTGGAATGTAAGATGAGCTAAGAGGAGCTGGAGATCAAATAAGTAATTAACAGAATTATACCTGGATCTGGTAATGAAAAGTAGCTAGTTCATAACAAACAAATCCTAGTTCTTAACAAACGAAACTGGAGAAACATTACTGTACAGTACTTGTATATTGGAATAGGCAGGCCACAGGAATGCAAGACAAATATTAGAGGCTTATGCTAGAAAGAAGGAAGACCAGCTTAAATACAATTTATAGTAACTTGACCTTTGAATTATTTTATCTTTATTTTCAAATGAACACCTCTCCTTTTTGTTTTTTAGAACTCCCCAAAACAAAAGATAATATGCAACAAGCAAAACACAATTTAAGAATTTTTAGTATTTGAAATATTCTGTTATTTGAAAGCAAAGACCACCATTTAACACCTCAGTTCTCTTGAAGCTGCTGCTTTACTATAAACAGGGTAGCATGAATTTCTTCACTGAATGATGCAATGTTACGCAACTGCAAAGCAAGGAGCCTAATTAAAAGAGCATTGTGTCAAGGATAGTCGATTTCTGTATTCTCTGGTGGCCAATCTAGTTTCCAGACTGTGGCCCTGAAGAATACTTTGCACACAACTTAACTCCTTCATGGCTACTATAATAAAGTCTCCAAGTGACTACAGGCTGGATCACTATGAACAGAGATCACTTCAAGTACAAGATAAGTATTTCTCAGAACTTTAAAGCATTTTTTCCTTTTGAAACTGTAGCATGCTTAATAAAATATTACAAATATTACAAATCGTATCACATCAAATGCTGGAAATGCAATATAAATACTGCAGATTTTATGCATCTCTGGAAAATATATATTCCAAATGGAATGAGAACAGATTCTGGAAGTTTTTGGCCTTACGTTTGGGATTAATTTTACTATAGATGTTAGGGCTCGTGATTGATTTTGAATATACTGATTGCAGCTATGATTGTTTTAGCTATACATCAGAAAATTCCAGTTATTCCCCTAATTAAAGGATGGTTAATCAAAACTTTAAAAATTGAATGGATAAATTATTGGATGTTGCATGTAGAAGACAATCTCTCACTTTGGTTTCTTGTCCTTAGGAAAGCCAATTCCTTTCACCTCTCACACATTTTATGTAAATATATCACCCACTAGGCCTGGAAAGTATTGTTGCCAAGAGAAAACAAGGTAGATAGTCTTAGAGCTTACCTTTGGTTGCCTGCCAGGTATCCCAGTAGCCCTCCAGCACCTAACCCAGTCCAAAATCCTGGCCCTGAGTTCGAATTTGAACCAGAATACGAGCCACCAGCATCACCTTAATCCAAATAAAATTATATGGATTTAGATTAAACAATTTTTGAAACAGAAGCAGTGCTGTTATGTTGAAGAAAAGATACCAGAGGGCTATTTGCTTTGGAAAGTCACTCAAGATCAAGGCATGCTCTTGAATGATTTCAGACGTTGAATCAAGGCCTGCTTAAAAACTCTGAAGGAATGAAGGGGAACTACACTAACAGTTAACACATGCACACTCATAAATACCATTACGTAATGCTTCCAGATTCACAATGGGTAATATGAAGGCAATTCATCTGATGTTAATTCATGCATGCAAATCATTATGATACTACAGTTAACAAGAGACTCCAAATAAAATAAAATAAAAAGCACTGCTATGTCAGCCAACACTGGGTCCCCACTGCTAGAAACTGAAGGGTCTTTTAAAATTTCTAACAGCCTGATCTCAAATATGTTTATTTAAAAGCAGATCCGGAGATGCCACTGAGGATTACTTCCTAATAAGCTGCTTTTAATGTTTGATGTTTTGGGGCAACCCAGCCAGGTGGACAGGGTATTATTACTACTACTACTACCACCACCACCACTAGTAGTAGTAGTAGTAGTAGTACTACTACTGTAGTACAATGGGACCTGCAATATTAGCAGAATAGGTACTACCAACAAGCTTCCCAGTTTGTTTAATGCCCTCTTTTTATTGACTCAGGATCTGCTAATAAAACCTTGTGTTTATTATTTCCAAGATGCAATGTAGTCATTCTTAATCATTCTTTGACCTTCTGAGGTTACTCTACTCCATTTCATTGACTTGAGATTTGAAAGACAGTACAGTGACAACATAATATACCTGCATCACTACCAGCATTACATCTTGCCACAAACAGTTATAAATATAGAGGTAGTAACTAAGAGGGTATAGAAAAGTTTATCTACAGAAAGCAAGCCACACCTACAAGCAATGAAGCATCCATGCTGATCTCCTTCTGCATTGCAGACTGGTAGAAGATGAGAGCTCAGGCCCACATGAGTGGCATACTCTATTTCATATCCTCTTACCCTCTCATGGGATTACTGTTTCCCACCCTTTTGGTTTAGAATAAAATGTCAAATCAAGAGTAGAAGGAACTGTCATAAGAATGAAGTTCTACAGAATATAATAATGTCTTTTACAGACCTGAGTGAGGACTGAGAACAAGAAATGAACAAAATTCTACAATGCAGTACTACTTACTGTCCAGCTTTGGACAAGATCTCTCAATGCCTGTGTTCCTATTGTCATATACAAGAGAGAACTTTACCTGTGAAGTGGGATTTAAATCCTGGAGGAGGTGTGGAGTCTGATTTAAATCCTGGTGGAGGGGGACTTTGATTATCCTGCCCATAGGTTCCTGGATAACCATCACCGTGAGAGAAACCATGTTGTGGCCGGTTGTCACAGAGGAATAGCTTGTAGACGCCGTAAACAAGGCCAACAAATAATATTAAGAGGATCACTCCAGCACCTGAGCCTAATGAATCATGAGATGTTGTGGAATAGTAACTCCCACCAAAGGAATTCGCTTTCTGCTGTCCTTCCTTGGTTAATTCTAATGTGTACTCCAAGCCACATGATCCTTTTAATATGTAAGGGTCATCCGGGTAATCGTAGCCTTCACAGCTTACTTCGATTTTTCCAAAGCGATATGAAATATCCATGTGTGCTTTACACTCCCACTGAAAAAGGAAACATCATTTGTTATTTTTGCTTCCTTTTAAGTAGAATAAAATAAACTACAGATACCAAATTGTGTCTGTCCACAAGTGGACTAGGTATCCATGGACTCCCCCCTCCCTGCCCCTTAAATGTACGCTAGATGACCTTATGGAGATCTGACTGAGCATACAGGGAGAGAAGGAGAAGGCCTGTCATATGAGAGGACTTCTGCTCACATGACCGTGGATCTCACCAATAATGTTATTTAAAAACAGTGTAACATACACAGCATTTCTGTTTCCTGCAGATTGGGAGCAAGTTCTCAAAAGGAATTTCACAAGAAAGTAACACTAAATAATTAATAAATTTGGACCACATTCCTTGTAATAAGACTTTAAACATGCATTCTCTGAGTTCTGTAGCAGTCAACGCCAACTGTTTGACTGCATATATATATAGTACTTTTTGTTTATCCCTAGGGATTTTTAAATTTAATAGGATGCATATATCCTCAAAAGATTAAAACAGCATGTCATTTTTATTATTTTTAATGTTTAAAGTTTTAAACAAAAGTTGGCAGAGGGAGTGTCAGAGTGAAGTAGCATGGATCTCAAACATTCTGTGTCAGCTTCTTCCCTGTCTGAGATAAAAAAAGTGAGCCAGAAATGAATATGCCCTTTAGAAGTCACATCCCTTTGGTAAGGAACTATAGTACGACTCTATTTCCTAATGACTTGGCACAATGCATTGTCCAATTACAGAAAAGAAAACAAAAACAGTACTTGACTTTATTATATGCAGTAACTACTGTATTTTTGGCCTAAGGAGTTCAATCTTCCAGGATTAAAAATATAATTACTTTAAAGAATGCAACGCAATAAAGAATTATCCTTATGGAGTTTACTCATGTAACATTCAGATCAGAATCGTCAGTCTACTTGTTGCTGAAGACTTCCAAATATTCTACTAATTCATTCTTGTGACTGAGGAAGCAGGTTGGTCAACAATCTTGTTCACGGAATTTTTATTACAGTTCAGTTTTTCTAAAAGCTGGTATTTTCAGAGTCCCATAAATGAGGGAAACAGGTTTCACAAAGTGGCTTGGGGAAGACTGTCAAACAGAAGTGCCCTTTACTAGCACCGGAACACTGACTGGGTCTCCAAATTTCTATTGAAAGTAATATGGACCCACTTTGTAGAGGAGTTAGCTTCTCTCAATCTAACTTTGTTTTTCACCTCCTACATCTGGCTGCAAATGGAAGCATCAATGGCTCATCATCTCTAAGTCCTGGCCATTTTGCCTTATCAAGGGAACATTCTATGTATGCCTTATCAAGGGAACATACAGCATTTTCTCACCCCAACACCAGGATTAATTAATTTATACAGATTCCCAAGTAACTATACCTGTACATCGTAGCCATCCCAGCCTTTGTTGTAACACTGGACGACCTCGGGTGTGTACGCTGCACATCCAGCTGAGCCACCAGTACAGTGCAACTGGGGAACTGGAGATGTCCGTCGAGAATTTGTAAACCTGCCTGGGTAGAGTGTCAGGGCTTGGATTTCTCGCAACAAAATTTTATCTGGAAGAATGTGTGAGTACAAAAATAGATTGAGAAACACTAGGAAAAAATAGGAATGCAGAATTTCCTTTTTTTAAAAAAAAAATCCAGTATAATCACTAAAAGCGAACAGGTAACTTCTCAGTAGAATAATTCCTGTTATCATTTTCCCAATATTTCCAGGCTGCCTATGATAATCCCAAATACTGAGTTAACAAATAATATTACAAAGCTCTCTAGTGTCTGAAAACTAAGCACAGAAAAATGGATTTTCTTATGTTCTACATATATGCTGATGCATAATTACTGGAGGACAGGAAAGCACTGCCTTGCTGGATCAGGCCAATACCCCATATCTGCCTTTCTCAAACTTGGGTCCCCAATTGTTGTTGGACTACCAACACCCATCATCCTGGACCACTAGTCCTGGTAACCAGGGGTGATGGGGAACCAAGTTTGAGAAAGGCTGTTCCATATTGTCAAGTATGTTTCCAATATCTGTCAGCCAGGTGCTTCTGAAATCTCAGTAAGCAAGATACTGTATGTCTCTTATTTTCTATTTCCCCAGCATAATAATAATCAAATATATATAGTGTTTGGACATGGAGGTTCCATTTAATTTACAATCCTATCTACAATTACATGCAAATAAAGCCCACCGAACTGCAGCACATTGGATCTGAATTCTAAAGTCCATGAAATTCACAGCATTGGGCTGTTACATTGAGGTTCAATTAGCCCACTACCTTATTCATAAGATGCCTTTGAAAGCTACAACTTTCCCCTGGCCTGACTAGTGGTTAGTATGGGGAGAGATACTGCTGCTGAGTAGGAAGGTTTCCATGTTGTCACCACAGTTACTGAGAATATGAAAAGACACTTGTTGGATCACATCAAATATTCACTTAGTGACCAGTCAGATGATTCTGGAACTCTTACAAAAAGGCAACTGCTCTCCTGTTTATTTCTCTCCCCCACCCGCACCCCAAAACCCCCAGTCATATTCAGAGACAAACTGCCTCGGAGTTTGCATCTTTCATTTGTTAATTCATTAATTCATAGAATCATAGTACTGTTGAGTTGAAGGGGCTCTGTGGGCCATTTATTACTACTACTACTAAATCTGTATACTGCCTCATATGTCTTGTGTGTTTATTGAATATGTTTCAGGTAACCAGAGGTTTGTTGTTGTTTTACTGCCCCATACCTGTAGGACTCAAATATTTCACAAGATAAAATTGCAATATAAAAACATAAAAGACATTAAAGAAATTTAAAAAACGCAAACAACCCAATAACCTCCTACTCCAACACATTTTAAAAGGACATCTGGTCACAGCCCTCTGCAATCCAATGCATTTGTCAACAAAAGCAACAAAGCCCATGCCTCAGGCTTACAACCACACCCACCACCAGTCACAGGAGGAAAAAGGGGGGTGTAGAGGTACGCATCTTAAAAAGCAGAGACCATATAGTTAAAGCTATGGTTTTCCCAGTAGTGATGTATGGAAGTGAGAGCTGGACCATAAAGAAGGCTGATCGCCGAAGAATGGATGCTTTTGAATTCTGGTGCTGGAGGAGACTCTTGAGAGTCCCACGGACTGCAAGAAGATCCAACCTCTCCATTCTGAAGGAAATCAGCCCTGAGTGCTCACTGGAAGGACAGATTGTGAAGCTGAGGCTCCAATACTTTGGCCACCTCACGAGAAGAGAAGACTCCCTGGAAAAGACCCTGATGTTGGGAAAGATGGAGGGCACAAGGAGAAGGGGACGAGAGAGGACGAGATGGTTGGACAGTGTTCTCGAAGCTACAAACATGAGTTTGACCAAACTGCAGGAGGCAGTGGAAGACAGGAGTGCCTGGCGTGCTCTGGTCCAGGGGGTCACGAAGAGTCGGACACGACTAAACGACTAAACAACAACAACAAGAGGCAAGCGGGAAACGACCAAGCTCAGGCATCAAATTCAAATGACAAATGCCGCTTAGGCGGAAAGGGCTGTCACCCTTAATGAATGTTAGAATGATGTTGGATGAAAAGTTATGTGGTTTTTAGCTATAACGCTATAAGGAGTATGAAAAAATGGACTATTAACAGACAAAAATTTAATGTTACAATATTTTAAGATTAAAGATTAGGATAAATAAAGAGGGGAAGGATTTGCTGAACTAACAAATTGAACGGGAATACAAAAAGGGAGGTGTGAGGAGGTCCGGGAAACAAGCAAATGAAAGATAAGTGATGGAAAGATGGAATTGTGTTTTTTTTTAAACTATTTTTATTTCGTATTTTTATTTTTTATTTTTTCATTTTGTAAAATTCTAATAAATATCTTTAAAAAAAAAAAAAGGAAAGGGCTGTCACCTTTGGACGCCCCGACATGCCAAGAAGAGACACCTTCGGCTGGCCGGTCCCACTTCTGCCTGTCAAACCAGGAAGCTCCCAAGGAAGCAGGGCGCCGAGAGAGCCGCCCTCCCGCACCGAAAGCGTTTCTGAGGTAAACTGCTCCTGAACCTGGAGGCCCCATTTCCCTGTCAAGACCGACGACAGTAGCCTCTGACAGGATACTGTGGCCCTTCCCCCTTCCCCGCCTGCCCGCCGCTCCGGCCTGGCCTTACCCTGCTGGGCCCAGCCCCACGCCAGCCCGCTCCCCGTCAGCACCACCAACAGCGGCAGGAGCAGCGGCAGCCTCAGCGGCGCCACCATCGCGGCGCGTCCGCCGACGAGTCTTCTCTCCCAGCGGCTGCGGCGTCGGCGCTTTCCGCGTCTCTGATTGGTTCCCTCACCGGCTCGCGGCTACTGCCTTCTTCAAGGGTCGAACCTTCTCGACGGCGCAACGGTGTTTTAACCGCCTCGCAGTTGGGGGGGCGGGATTTTGTCGCCCGCCTTTCGCGACTGGAGGGTCGTCCGACAAGGCGATGGGATGATTGGCCATTCCGCCCGTCGCCCGGCAATCCTATTCGCTGGATGGAGAAGCTCCTATCCTCTCATTGGCTCTGCTGGCCATGGCAGGCGGGGCAAAGCAAGCAGCAGCCGGGAACCAATGGGCTTGTGCTGGGTGTACATAGAGTGTATCGTCTCTTCCGGTGAGTCAGTGTCAATAAACAAAGGCCGCTTACAGGGTCTTGTTAGACTACAACTCCCATGATCCCTTTCTAGCAGGACCAATCGTCACGGGTGGTGGGTGTTGTAGTCCATCGACAACTGGCGACTCAAGTTTGAGGAACAGGGGACCGGACACGGGGAAAGTTCCCCAGAAATAGTGGGTTATTATTGTGGTTGTTTTGTGGCAAGCAAGCTGGAGTCTTGTGGCACCTTACACACATTCAGCACAATGTGGCTTGAGCTGTTGTAGGCAGGGCTATACTTGGACAAATCCATGAAGGAAGCACAACAGACATATATGATGCAATCTATTACCCAGCTGTGCAATGCACTGTATGATTCAGTTAAGGTTGAGAACAGTGGAAGTTTCTTAAAAAGAACCTGACCTTTTAGCAGCAGCTTGATCTATGGGTAGTGACATTATAGTAAAAGGTAAAGGACCCCTGGACGGTTAAGTCCAGTCAAAGGTGACTATGGGGTGTGGCACTTATCTCACTTCAGGCCAACGCTTGTCCACATACAGCTTTCCAGGTCATGTGGCCAGCATGACTAAACTGCTTCTGGCACAATGGGACACCATGACGGAAACCAGAGCGCAAGGAAACACCGTTTACCTTCCTGCCGAAGCGGTACCTATTTATCTACTTGCACTGCTGTGCTTTCGAACTGCTAGGTTGGCAGGAGCTGGGACCATCACCCCATCATGCGGATTTGAACTGCTGACCTTCTGATCAGCAAGTCCAAAAGGTTCAGTGGTTTAGGGCACAGCACCACCCTCTCCCTTTGACATTTACTTGACATTATAGTAAAAGGTGTTGGCTCCTTTATATTAAGTAATTGCAACAAAATGATTTTTCCAGTGCCATGGATATTTGACCTTTTATTCCCCACTCCCACACACATTCAATTGTATTAATTAATCTGTGCAGATTTACAACACGCTATGCCTTCCATTTGCTTTATAGAGCATACACAACGCCACCTTAAACAAAAACCCCACAATAATTATACACATATATTTGTTGAGAGCTGTTGTGAATGTCCTAGGCCAGGGAATCTCTGTATGCCTTCTGGACTTGGTGGATTGATCATTTACCTTGAATCATGGTGCGGTTTCCAAAAATAAGCTCAGACACTGGTACAATTTAAATGATTTTATAATTTGTATCTTGTTGTACACGCAACTATGAAATTGCAAAGTTAAGTGTTATACAAACAGTTTTAACTTGGTCTCACAGAAACCTGCTTAAACTATCAAGATATTAAGAAGAACCAGCCTATGAGCATGTTGAATGGTGATGAAGGGAAGTAATGAGGTTGGAGGGAAAAGGTATAAAAAGGAGGCAGGACAAAAGGTTGCAAAAATTCCATTCCCTTTTGGTGTCTCGGCAGCAGGACTGCATCATTCCCTGCTCTTAAGAGATCCCTCCGTATCATCTTTACCTTTCAAATCATAAAGTTGTAGAGTTGGAAGGGATCCCGAGGGTCATCTAGTCCAACCCCCTGCAATGCAGGGATCTCAACTAAATCATACATGACAGAACAGTATTTCCCATGAGGTTCAAGGGTTGCCCACCTCCAAATACATTCAATCAAAGAAATAAGAATATAAGCAGGTGGGTAACATATTTCATTGGGGGGGGCGGACTTCCAGGTTCCATGGTCGAAGCCATTCAAAAAAACACATTACCCCAAGTGAAAGCTGCCTACGCAATAGACGAATCTAGAATATTCAAGTGTAATAGGTATTATTGGGCACAAACACCACCTGTCAGGAGTTCACGCTGTTTCCAGCTCAGTTCTTATTTTACGTGAAAATTAACGCTACTTCAATTCTCTTATCTCTATATTACAAGGTGGATGGGGCTGCATTTGGGAGAGAGTGACTGTCCTCCGTTAACATTTTAAGAAGGAGACTGAGCTGAAGCCGGTTTAGATTTGCAATCAAAAGGCCCTCCTCCTTCTCTCTTTCATTCTCGCTTTCGTTGGATGAGCCAAAGTGCCATCCGATCCCATCTTGCCCTAAAATCCCTGTTCCCATAGACGTGTCTTATTTCCGCCCTGGAGGAAGGAGCAGGTGAAACGCCCTACAGAACCTGCAAGTTGCGCCCTGCGTGTCCATCTACCCATTTTAAAGTCTACGGTGCCATCCGGCTTCTGCCCGCCCGAAGTCCTCCTCTGTTCTGAAAGAGCGCTCACTTCCGGGTTCTGTCTGGCCGTCTTCCTCCCGCTCTGTGGTTGGCTGGGAGCGGCCTGTGCGCGACAATAACAGCAGCATCATGGCCGGCATCAAAGGTAGCGCCGCTGTGGCGGTTCTGAGGGGTGGCATGGAAAGGGCCCGGGAGCAAGGCGGGGCGGGGGGGGGTCTTCCGTGCCAGGCCCGGGAAAGGACGTCGCCCCTCAGCCCTGGCGGTGACGTCTTCTGGCGGGGGGGGGCAGAGAAGAGGGACCGCGTTGTTTCCATGGCAACGTGCGCCTTCCCCGCCTGTGAGGATGCGCCGCTTGGCTAGAAAAGCGCGCAAACGGAGAGAGTGTGTCGTTTGTCTCTTTCTCTTCTGCCCCCAATACCTGGACCCACATTTGGAGGCCTGTGTGGGGTTGGCGCTCCCCACCCCTCAAGTCCGTTTCCGACATCCCTAGGCCTGGGCCGGGTCGCAAGGCGAGCCCAGTGTTGTTGCCGGAAGCAAGGCCCGTCTCCCAGGAGTTTTCACTTTTCGAGTTAGCGGGTGTAGGAGATGCAGCTCCAGAGCATGTGCAGAGATAGTATTTCCCCCCACACTTCCCCCAGAGCCAGGTACTGGGGAAGAAAAGGGAAGGGATGACATCTTAATGTTACTGTTAATTATTAAATTTGTATGTACTGCCCTTCTCATGCGTATGTTCACAACATAAAAATGAAATATAAGAAAACACAAAATTATTATTATTGTTACAGTGGTACCTCGGGTTACATACGCTTCAGGTTACAGACTCTGCTAACCCAGAAATAGTGCTTCAGGTTAAGAAATTTGCTTCATTATAAGAACAGAAATTGGGCTCCGGCGGCGCGGCAGCAACAGGAGGCCCCATTAGCTAAAGTGGTGCTTCAGGTTAAGAACAGTTTCAGGTTAAGAACGGACCTCCAGAACCAATTAAGTACTTAACCCGAGGTACCACTGTATTGCCCTTCTTGTCAGCTCTCTGAAGTTGTCATGTAAAATGAAATCTTGGGCTCTGCAAACCTTTGGACCGCAACCCGATGCACACTCGTGGGAATGGGCATGGCTAAACTCTTTATCAGCCAAGCTTTGCGGTACCTTAAAATGCAAGAAACATTGTGATCCTGTGCCTTTCCAGGCAGACGCAACGCCCCGCTGAGTGCAGTGGGGCTGCCAAATAAGTGCATGTACGATTGCAGCTACACATTTATTGCAGCATAAACGATGAACCTGGTCTCTCCCACTAAAGATCCTGTCACAATGAATTGGTTAGTCTGAGGAGGGAAATGACTTTTTGATGGTTTTGTTGCATTAGACTATGCAGCTTCTTCTGGAATTCAGTACCATTTAACTTGGAAGAATTTTCTGATTAAGTAACACACATAGGTTTGCCAATGTTTCTCAGACTTGGACCCCTAGCTGTAGTTGGGCTACAGCTCCCATCATCCCGGACCTGCTAGCTAGAGGTGATAGCTAGGGATGATAGGAGTTGTATACAACAACAGCTGGTTTGAGAAGCACTGAATCCATTCCAGTAAACTTGATCTTGCAACCTACTGAGTCTACAGTAAAAGTTACCAGATGCAAAGAAGGAAGATGAGGCTCCTGTGCATTTAAATAACTGTTTATTTGACACATTTCTTATTTGTCTCTCATCTTGAAGTGGTTCACAATGTTAATATTACACCTTTAAATAGCAATATACATACATACTTGGAGGGAGGCAGGGTTAAGTTTCGTAAATAGGAAGGAGATTTGGTACATTGCAAGCAAGAATAAAAGAAAGTGGAGTGGCTTTATGAGAAATGTCACTGATTTGGTCAGTGATACTGGGGCAGAAGGGACGCGGGTGGCACTGTGGGAAGAGGTAGACGCCACCGTGGGAGCAGGGCCGGGGCGGGAGAGTGCTAGAGTCCTGTCTAGTCAAATTGCGTGGGATCAATTCCAATCTGTTACCTCCGAGGATGTGGACAGGCTGCTTGGACGAGTGAAACCAGCCACCTGTCTCCTTGATCCTTGCCCATCCTGGCTTATAAAAGCTAGCTGGGAAGGGCTGGGCGATGGCCACATGACCCGGAAGCTGTACGCCGGCTCCCTCGGCCAATAAAGTGAGATGTGCGCCGCAACCCCAGAATCAGTCACGACTGGACCTAATGGTCAGGGGTCCCTTTACCTTTACCTTTACTGGGCCAGACAACAGGGAAGTGCTGATACCTTAATACACAAACTTATATAAATTAACACAAAAGTAAGCCTTCTTGAGTTCAAAAATGAGACTTCATCTTATGTAAGTACATAGGATTTTGCTTTTGCCATGAACTTGCTTGGTATACTTAGGTAAGCTACTTTGTCTCCACGTCAGTCCCAGTCTGAAATATTGAGAAAATAATATTCATCTACCTTACAGAGATGTTGTAGGAATGACGGATGTAATTTTTGCGTAGAACTATGAACAGCCGGAAAAGGCTATATAAATGCTAACACTTTTGCAGTCTTAACAGTTAAGTCAATATCATTTAGTAATTTATTTACTGATGTCCTTCCTTTCCGTGAAATCAGCAGCAACCCAGCATAAAATTG